AAGCACGAAAAAGAAAAATTCCATCAAGAAAATCGATGAATTAATGAATAAATAATTCTTGATCATACAGACAGACGGTACTTATATATATAGATAGATAATATAGATATAATTATTACGATTAATATTTATAATATACCTACGTATACGCCGTATACGGTACGACACAGATAAGTATGCCTCAAAAGAGAAAAGGCGGAAATTTATATAAAATTAGTCACGAAAGCAAGCGCTTACGACAAATGCGAAAAATTGAGAGTTCGGAGGAAAGATCTCAACGACTTGAAGCTAATGCTCAAAGAAATTATCAGCAGAGAGTCAATGAAAATGATGACAAAAGGTCTCAACGACTCGAAGCTAATGCTCAAAGAAATTATCAGCAGAGGGTCAATGAAAATGATGACGAAAGGTCTCAACGACTCGAAGCTGATGCCCAAAGACATGCTCAGAAAAGGCAACAAGCTAGACAATTAAATCATCATATTGCGCTAATTGCTAAGGGCAATGAAATAAATGTGTCAGTTCATACACTTGGCCAAATGAATATAGAATGCCAATTTTGCAAATCGTTAAATTTTGAATGTGAAAAACCTAAAGATGGGAAATTTACATATTGTTGTCAAAAGGGTAAGCTTACATTAAAGTCAATAAATTGTCCTGATTTTATTAAAAAATTATACATGGGAAATGATTATGCATCGAAAAATTTCCTTCATAATATTCGTTCATATAATAGCGCTTTAGCTATGGCTTCTATGGGTGCCCCGGGCAATAGAAATCCATTGGATGTTGTGAGCAATGCTCCTTATTGCTTAAAGATTCATGGGCAATATCATCATTTGACTTCGACAGCAATGCGCCCAGCAGATGGGCAAGCTCCGCGCTTTGCGCAGCTTTACTTTTTAGATATAGAAGAAGCTATAAATCATAGAATGAATAAGAAAGCTAATCAAGAGTGTGATTTTGAAATAATGAAAAATTTGTCAAGTTTTATGGTTGAATGCAATGAATTTGCAAAGACTTTCAAGATGATGCGTCAAGTTGAACAAGATCTTAATCCGATAGGGAATAAAAATATAAATTTAATGTTGTCCTTTCGAAACGATCCTCAACATGATCAAAGAAGATATAATGCTCCACAAGCTAATGAAATAGCTGTGGTCTTTCAGAATGTAGATGGTGAGCCTCCATTTGAAAGAGACATTCGGATTTATAATAAAAATTCAAACGATGTTCAACAAATATCAATTCTGGACAAAAGGTGTGACCCAATGTGTTATCCTTTGTTATATCCATATGGTAACGATGGATGGCATTCAGAAATGAAATCTTATAATTATAAATATTCAGGATTTAAAGTAACTCAAATGGATTATTATGCTCATCTATTGGCACCAAGAGCCGAATTTAGCCAATTTAAAAGAGCAGGCAAATTGAGATGTCAATTTATACTTGATGCCTATATGAAAACTGAAGCCAATAGACTTAATTATATTAAATTAAATCAACCTCAATTAAGAGCAGAACTTTATTCAGGATTAATGGATCACCTTGATAATCGAGCACAAAATAAGGGAATTACAGTTGGTGTACCTGTAATATTACCATCTTCATTTATGGGCAGTCTAAGGAACATGCAAGAAAGATACCAAGATGCCATGTCTTTGGTAAGAAAGTATGGTAAACCAGACATTTTTTTAACCATGACTTGCAATCCTCAATGTCCTGAAATTAAGGATAATCTTGATGGATGTCAAATAGAGTTTCGACCTGATTTAGTCGCTAAAACATTTAATTTGGATGTCAAAGAGATTTTAAAAGATTTAATTCAAAATAAAATTTTTGGAAATATTATAGCTTATGCAGGTGTGATTGAATTTCAAAAAAGAGGACTTCCACATTTGCATTTACTTGCAATGTTGAGCGATGAAGATAAGCCCCGACTTCAAGAAGTCATTGATATGATGGTATGGGCTGAAATTCCTAATGAAGAAAAATATTCAGAACTTAATGAAAAAGTTTTGAAACACATGATTCACGGTCCATGTGGAGATCCGTCGAGGAGATATCCTTGCACTGGGGACGATGGAAAATGTTCAAAAGGTTTTCCAAAAGAATTTTGTGATAAAACTAATGCTAATGTAAATGGATATCCCATCTATCAACGTAGGAATATTGGAATAAAATACATCGTTAGAAATAAAGAAGTGGATAATCGATGGGTGGTGCCGTATTCACCATATTTAATCATGAAATATAATCGACATATTAATTTAGAAATATGTTCATCAGTGAAGAGCGTAAAATATCTATATAAATATATTCATAAAGGATTTGATTGTGCTGCAATTGAAGTGCAAGCACGAGATGGTACAAAATTCATTAGAGTAGATGAGGTTAACTCATTCCTGGATGCAAGATATGTTAGTGCTCCAGAAGCAATGTGGAGACTTAATGGATATGATCTGTTCATGAAATCTCATACAGTAATAAGATTGGCAGTTCATTTGCCTGATCGCCAAATGGTTTATTTTCGAGCAGGAAATGAAGAACAAGCTGCTCAAAGAGAGCTAAATCGAGATACTACGCTGACTGCATGGTTCAAATTAAATCAATATGATGAAAATGCAGTAAATTATCTTTATACAGATATTCCTTATCATTATGTTTATAATAAAAAAGAAACTAAGTGGAAGCCACGTAAAAAAGGTGGTGAAAAAATAATTTCAAGACTATATACAGTAAGCATAAAAGATATTGAAAGATTTTATCTCCGTCTTCTTCTACTACATGTGACTGGAGCAAAATGTTTTGAAGATTTGAGAAATGTAAATGGAATTATTTATAATACGTTTAAGGATGCAGCAATTGCAAAAAATTTAGTAGAAACTGATGACTTTTGGGGAAAAACGATGGAGGAAGCAACAGAATCGAATATGCCTGCACAACTTCGAGAATTATTTGCTTACATTTGCATCTTTGGAAATCCAATAGATGTACCAACAATTTGGAATAAATACAAAGATTTTATGATTGAGGACTTTGTAAATAATAATGTTGTAAATCCCGAAAATATGGCGTTAAACCATATACAACAAATTCTGATAAATAATGGAAGTAGTTGTGAGAAATTTCAATTACCAAATCCAACTGAAATAAATATTTATGAAACAGAGTATAATGTAGATGAAGAAAAAATACGTGGTGATTATTTATTATCTACACTAAATGATGAGCAAAAATACGTGTATGATATAGTAATGCGAGCAATTGAAAATGAAAATGAACCTAAGCGTTTGTTTTTTATTGACGGGTTTGCAGGAAGTGGTAAAACCTATCTATTTAATACATTTCTAAGTGTTATTCGAGGAAGAAATGAAATAATTCTTCCATGTGCTTCAACTGGAATTGCAGCCACACTTCTGAAAGGAGGAAGAACTTATCATTCTCTGTTTAAGCTTACAATTCCAATTGATGATGCAGCTAAATCAAATATTAGAGGAAATTCTCAAGCTGCACGAGAATTGATCAATGCCAAATTAATCATATGGGATGAAGTGAGCATGACTGTTGGACATGAAGTAAGCATGACTGTTGGACATGCCTTACAGCAGTTGTAATAAACTTTTCAAGGATTTAAAATGAAGATATCATCCATTTGGAGGAAAAGTAATTTTATTTGCAGGAGATTTCAGACAAAATCTTCCAGTAGTACCTCATGTACACAAAACAGCGATCGACTGTAAAATACAACCCTATATGGAGGAATGTAATTAAGGTTAAATTACAGCAAAATATGAGAACTGCGGAAGAAAAAGAATTTGCAAATTGGTTAATGCAACTCGGAGATGGTAAATTATCAAATACAGATGGACTAAATTTAGACACGATTGAAATTCCACAAGATTTTATATCAAAAGAATCTCTTATTAATGAGATTTTTGGTGATAGAATTACCATGAAAAGGATTAGAGAAAATCAGAATCGAGCGATTCTTTGTCCTAAAAATGAGGATACTTTCAAAATTAATGATGAAATTCTTTGTCTAATGGAAGGAGAAGAAAAGGAGTATCTCTCTATTGACTGTATTGTAAGTGATGATCCACAGGAGCAATTAAATTTTCCAACTGAGTTTCTAAACTCACTAACACCTTCTGGAATGCCAGTTCATCGGCTTAAAATAAAAGTTGGTGCTACAGTAATTTTATTAAGAAATTTAAATACTAAAAAAGGACTTTGTAATGGTACAAGATTTATTGTAACTAATTTGAAAAATAATATAATTTATGTAGAAGTTATAACAGGTCCTGCTCGAGGACAAATTGTCATGATTCCGAGGATAGATTTAATTACAAATGATTTGGAACTGCCATTTAAGTTTAAACGAAGACAGTTTCCTATTCGAGTGTCATTTGCTATGACAATAAATAAATCACAAGGACAAAGTTTAGAAAAAATTGGAATTTATTTGCCACATCCTGTATTTGCTCATGGTCAACTTTATGTGGCATTTTCTAGAGCAACAAAAAGAGAAAGTGTAAAAATTAAAATTGATGAATGTAGCAATCAAGGACATTTAATTGAAGAAAGTGAAAAATGTTTTACAAAAAATGTAATATACAGGGAAATTTTGTAAATTGAAGAATTATGAAATTGTATGAGAGCTAATAATAGCGGGTTAGCGGTGGGTACATTAGAAATAAAAAATAATTGAGTAAAATGTAAAAAAGGATATAATAATTAAGTAATAAAAAAAATATTTAAAGTATATATTAACCAAAATAAATGTTTAAATTTTTTATGGATGACTACTATGTTATCTATTTCTTTCTCCCAGATATTTTATACATAACATTTTGACAAACAACAAATGTGGAAGTAGTTCGCGGTAATACAAAAAAAGAATTAATTTGTTGTGTTAAAACGGATTTAATATAGGCTATATGAGGACCGCGCGGAGCGCGGTCCGAATAGAATGGCTTTGAGGACCGCGCGAAGCGCGGTCCGAAAAGCTAGTTTGTGATAAATGTAATCATTGCAGGTAAATCGTAGATGCCCATTTCGTGATAGCTGATAAAATATTTGATGTATCGTCATAAAAAATATAAATATACATATATATTTCCACATATAATATTTATAATTAAATTTATACATATATGTACATATATATATATATATATATATATATATATATGATATATAAGTCCAGTCCTTGCGTTTTTGATTATGTCATTTTCAAAGTTATTAATTAGATTTTATGTGTGTACATACCTGAAATCCCAAAATGTTAAATTCGACGGAGATAAAGAAACATGCGTTCTTGAATAGAGATTACCACGAAAATTTCCCAGCCAAACATCGTATTCCTGATCCGCTAACAAGTAAGCTAAGAAAAAACATTTTTTGCAATATCTATATTACGTAACTTATATTTTTTCATATATATAATACCATATAATTTAATATTAAATTACAATATTTTTAAATGTTCCTACAATAGAAACAAAATAGTTTCAGGATACATCTAGATTAAAAAAAAACAAAAAATTTATTAAATTCGTACCGAGTGCTTTGCCTTTACCAAGAACGACCCAATCGGCGGAGCTACTAATAAAATCGTGTAGTAGTAATATAGGTAGAGAGTCGTTGCGACCTGGGATACGATGTAACGTCAAGAGATAGCCATCCTTTGTTGTTACAACGTGAGTTTCCGTGGGATAACCCGCCTCTTTTATCATCTCTGTCTAAAAGAAAAATTAGCAAAAACAAAAACAAAATACATCTAAAGTAGAAATAAAATGCAACAAAATGCATATGGTAATTTTATTTAATAAATCGTATAAATATAAATAATGAAAAGTAATTATATATATATATATATATATATATATATATAATATATTAGCAAATAATTCTATATTTAAAATAAAATAAACAATCAATCTAAATGAACATATAATTGATGTAGTTTACATTTAAAACTGCAGAGATAAGTTTTTTGGCATAATAAAAGTAGGATGGTCGATAAAAATTATTTAAAACGCAAATTTTTTAAAGAATCTTGCTTATGTTTATAAATCTTAAATAATGAATCTCTTAAATTTTAATTGAAAAAAATTTTAATAACTATTATACTATGATAAATATTTAATGATTGCAATATATTGTAATACATTTAAAATAACTAAATATATACATATGCGTACACATATTATTATATATATATATATATTTTAAAATAAAAAAGAAGAAAATTTAATGTCAACTAAAGATTAATAACGTAACATATTTTAGCAATAGAAATTTAATTTGATTTAAAAATTAAAAAGAAAGATATAAATGCTGAATAGAAATAATTAATGCTATTGTATAATGTTGCCAAATTTAAATGCCTTATATTTTGATAAAAATACAGTAGCAATTACACTACGTAAGATAATTTTTAATTATTTTCTGTGATAGCATTGAAAAAACTGAAATAATCGAAATAAAATTTTAATCCTTTTTTTATGTGCTGACACTTACTGTGCTGAGAAAATCATCTGAATTGAATTTAGTGTTATCCGATTGCTTCCAGGTGTTCCATTTTACATTTTCTATGAGTAGATCATTTGGTTCAGAGATTATTTCCGTCGGCGCTGCATCAAGACGACCGTAAATCGACAAGATTAACGTGATTCCGATCAATCTCATCGCATCAATGAGTACCCTGATAGAAATTTTGATTTTAACGTTTGTTTATGACACTAATCAGCGTGCCATACTCCATTTCAAGTCATGATACGCTCCTCGAATTGTTACGTTTTGGCCGCTGACGTCACAACTTTGAAAAGATTTGACAAGACGCTAACGTGATGCCAGTAAAACTTGCGCTTGTCCAATTTTATGATGAATATCACACCATTTTTATATCAGGCGCAAGTCGGCTCTGATATGCATCTTTCCAATTCTTTTGATGAGGCTATTGCGTAAACTTACATGGTGCTGATAACCCGATAAAAATGTGTTTATGTATAGTCATATATAACAATATAAAATTATGTAGAAATATATAAAATTCTGTGTAAGTTATTTATAGTTATATATAATTTTATATGACTTATTATATATGTAATTGTATATAATTAAACATAACTATTACAGAAGTTTATATGCTTATATATAAAATTATATATTTTATACATAAGTAATATATATTTTATATATATATATTTATATATTTTTTATTATAATTTTATATATATTTTTATAATTTTAAATCGTTATATATGATTATATATAAAAAAATTTTTATCGGGAAGTGTTATGGCGCCGATTAGGCAATTTCTACCAAAATAATTTAATTAACGGAAAAATAAAAGAAACGAACGACACGAAAATTTTCCAAAGTATCGAAATATATATATTATCAAATAATAAGTAAAACGCGCGAGAGCAAGATAAGTACGACTGCGCACAATTTTGTTCTTTACACGGTACTTATTGTTGAAAATGAATTGTCATTTTGTTAACAATTATTTTTTACCAACTGAAAAAAAAGTAAAGAAAACAAGCATAATAGAATTATTATTCATACGATCATAGGGCATTATAAAAATATATATTTATATACTTATGTAGAAGATAGATTGTCGGAATTATACAGCAAGTAAAACAAAAGAAAATTTGCATATTGCTTTTTCGTCATATTAATTCAATTATGGCTTCCTCGTAAAGAAAGCTTAACTTGCACATTGATTGATCAAAATTTAATTTTACACATTAAAATTCCTTATGAGGAAGCAAAATTATTATTCTCTTTCAATTATTGCTTTAATCACATGCATTTTTTTAAAAAATTTTGAATTGGAAAAAATTGTATGAAATTTATTTTGTATAAAATTGCATTGTTTATTTTATTTCTTATAAGAATTAAAACAAAATTAACGTAATCACGTTTCAAAAATCATGGGTCAATATTAGTGTATGAAAAAATATATGTTGCATTAAAGCAATGTGTACAAAAACGAAGAGAATGTGAAACAAGATGGAACATATTTTTGTATAACTCTCTTTAGAATTCGTTTTCCTTTTTTGTAAATTTTGGAAACAAAAATCTAATAACTATTATTTAGATAATTTTTTCTTTTGTTACGAGAAATACGTTTCATTCGATATACATAGAATGGTTGAAAAGTTAATTTCCGAATAGTATAAAAAATCAAAAAATATTTTTAAAATATCTAAAGAACAATTAGATATTTTAAAACCAATTAGATGTCTTTAATTTTTAGACATTTTGTTTAAACATGTGTGCTGTCATTGGATTGTAATATTATGTGTTGTAGTAATACTTAAAAAATACTACACTTATAATTGCATTTGTATTATTCTAATTCGCATTATTACTAATTGTAAATTATAATCAAATATTATTAATTTTTATAATTTTTAAATTAACAATTGCAGCTGTTGTAAATCGTAGGCCTTATTAAAAGTTTAACAATTAATATTTATCTTATTATTTATAATTTTCTATATATCGAGACGTAATATTATCTGAATTCTTTCCTTTGATGATCTGGAAAATTCTTTCGTACACGAGTTTTGGCGCATCCTTGGCCCATAGGAAGTCCACGTGATTAAAATTGAGCAATGGTATTTCATATAAATCTATTACGTTGGGTAGTAAACGAAACAACCTCATCACATCCTTAAAAAATGTTTTCGTGAATTATTATGTGTCATCTTTTATAACTGTTTTCCGTTTTTATGTATAAAGCTTGATTTATATATAGTTTTATTGCAAATCGTACCTATACTATGTATATATATATATATATATATATATATATATATGTATATACAGGGTGTTCCATTCTAATACAATTAATTATTTCAAATTTAGATAAATAAATATAGAAATCAACCTAGTTTTTTTATCAGACCCATTTTATTTTTCTTACATAATCGATTCCTCGCAATATTTGACATAAAAAGTTGTATATTTATATAACTCAAAAATACTTTTGCACAATATAATGGGAAGAATCAATTAATGTAAAAAAGTATCTAGTTCTTTGATAAAAAAATTAATAATTTACAACTAGCAACTATATGACATTGAAAAACGCCATTCAAGGATAATTCAAGGTCACGATATTATGTCCCTCTCAAAAACCTTTCAACTTTTATATAAAAAATGTTTATATAGAAAATGTTTTACTTCTAAAAAAAATTGATTGTATCACTTAAAATGAAACATCTTGTATATACATTTTCATTATTTAAATACCTATTTTTTTGTTACTTACGACAGGATTGACCAACCAGTCGTTGTTGCCGTAAAACAAAGCGATTGGTACCGTGATTTTGGTTAAATCGTAATCCGGAGGTTCCACTGAGTTGTACATCAACAGATTTTTCTCGCGACCGTAGTCATATTCGCGAAATGTTCCCAATGGAATTCCTTGAGTGTAGTGAATCCATGATTTAGCTGAGCTGCCAGCAGGGATGTGATTCATGATGAGAGGTAACAGATTCTAACAAGTAGGAAACAAAAATGACATGTAAGCAAAATCCGAACCGAAAAGTAAAGTAAAATATGATCAAAACTTTGATTGTGACGAAATTCTATTTTATTTCAATGGTAGAATTATACTACTCACGTAATTGAATTGTTCGTAGTCGAAACCGTTTATCATAAATATCACATTGAGGCAAAATTCTTGCGTGGATAAATTCTGGTTGCATAATTTCGCAAAAAATTTAGTCGAATCTCTCTGCAGAAATTCTCCGTGAAATAAAACTTCCATCAATGTCTGTAATTGAAGATCTGTTGTATTATATTGTAATGTAATTGACTTGCCAGTCTAATTTTTTCTTTAAGTTTTAGCGATAATTCTGAGAAAATAAATTAATGTATTTTCAAGCAATTTTTAATTATTTAATAAATTGATATGATTTATGGAAGCTTTGATCTTAATTGTAACTTTCGAAAAACCTTTCCAAACTTAATTAAAAAGATTCAATATGTGACAGAAACAAGCAATAGTAAATGTAAAACAAAAAAATAAATTTTTTAATGTAGAGAATTAATTATTTATAAATCTTTAAATTTTTGTTGTTTTGTCTTGTTTCTAAATTAAATTGATAAGAGATAAATCTTTTCCAATTAATTTTACTCGGAAATATTCATTTTATTCTACACACATAAAATAAAGATTAAAATTGGAAAGTAATATGTTATTTGTACATTTTTTGTTATAATTATATTTTGTAATAATAATTTCTAAATAATAATTACATATGATATAATTTGCATATAAATGTTAATTGAAATATTGTATTAATAAAAAATTATGATTATAATAAAATCTATCTGAAATTAGTTAGTTAAAAAATGCAATTCTTTTGTTTTGATTATTTATTTCAATCTTGTAAAGAATTATTGATATCAAGCCACTCACACCACATAAATTTTTATTTATTGTTTTACAATTATATTTTAAATTTTAAAAAATGGTGTGTTTATACATTTAGTATGTGAATAGAAGATATTTTTTATTCTAACCAAAAGGTATTATTTTTAACTATTATTTCGCATAAATAAATTAATTTTTAACAAATTTGCATGTAGAAACGTATATTACATACTTTACCTGAATCTTTCTTGCAAAGGGAGCAAGATATCGTAGCAAACCTTTTATATGGTTTATGAAAACTGCTGGCCCGAGGCCGATCATTTTTTGTACCATTTGAGCGATTTCCGGACGTCTTGATGCCATTACATAAAAACTAGTTGAGCCCATCGAATGACCAATGTATGCGTGCAATGACTGTGATCTCATATTCGTAATAAATGTAATCATTGCGGGTAAATCGTAGATGCCCATTTCGTGATAGCTGATAAAATATTTAATGTTTTGTCATATAAATATAAATACATACATATATTTCCGCATATAATATATGTATAATATAAATTTATACATATTATACATAATATGTGTGTGAACATATATATATATATATATATATATATATCTTTTAAGAAACATTATACATACTAATTTGCATATAAGAAAATGCAGATATCGGAAATATACAATATTTTCAGAACTTTGCCAAAAAAAAAGGAAATGTTCTAGACAGCACACGATATTTATGATAAGGATATATGTATATATATATATATATATATATATATATATATATACCGGGTGTCCCAGACCATCTATACACCTCTATTCTTCTAAAAACTAAGCTTTTAGAGGAAAATGTTTTATATATATATATATATATATATATATATATATATATATACACGTGTATAAACATATAGAAAAAAATATGTATGCATATAAAATTATATGTATATATTAGGAATCATAAATAAGCTCATCCAGTGCTACGTTTTTGATGTCATTTTCAAAGTTAAATTTTGATTTTATGTACCTGAAATCCCAAAATGTTGAGTTTGACGGAGATAAGGAAATATGCGCTCTTGAATAGACATTACCACGGAAATTTCCCAGCCAGACATCGTATCCTTGATCTGCTAGTAGGTAAGCTAGAAGACAAAAAAGAATAAACATTCTTTGCAATATCTATTACGTTATTTTTTTCATATAACATATAATCATATAACTTTATATAAAGATATATAATATTTTAATATTTCTAGAATAGAAAAAAGTTTTGGATTCGTATCTGGATTAAAAAAAAAATTAATTAAATTCATACCAAGTGCTTTGCCTTTGCCAAGAACGATCCATGCGGCGGAACTACTAACAAGACCGTGTTGCAATAATACAGGTAGAGAATTTTTGCCACCTGGGATACGATGTAATGTCAAAAGATAGCCATCCTCTGTTGTTATAACGTGAGCTTCGGCGGGGTAACCTGTTCTTTTTATCATCTCCGGCTGGAAGAAAAATGAATACTGTAAAGAAAGAAGGATAAAATCGACCTAAAGTTGCAATAAATTTGTGCAAAATGCATATTTTTACTTTCAAAATAATGTGACGTAATTCTGTAATAAATATAAAACATTAATAACTCCATTAATATTTATAGTAATTAATACTAGCAAATAATTCTAAGATATTTACAATAAAATAAAATAGACGTTAATAAATAAAAGTTGACATATAATTGATGTAATTTGCAGGGATATGTTTCTATGTATTAAGAATAAAAGCATGACGCTCGACAAAAATAATTTTAAAAACAGATTTTTAAGGAATCTTTTTTATGTTTATGTTTTAAATCTCGTAAATTTTAATTAAAATCAAGGTTGATATTCTTTAGACGATCAAACCGGCTAATGATGGAAAAATTACTTTATTTATTCAGTAACGTTTCGATTCTGAATTGGGTCCTCTTCAGACTACATAACAGACAATGTGATATTATATAACAAAAATATGACAACAAGTTTGAAATAATATATTTATATAATAATATAAAAAATTATA